CCTCATATAAACTGTATGTACATATACTCACATGATTAGACATCACTTTGTTAGTGTAAATATTGCAGGTTTTTGAGGAATTTCAATGTATATTTAAAGTCAAAGTATCATGGATGTATTCAGTTATCCCACTCGCTCATGCATAATAGGCTGAACTTGGCTCTGGACCTTGGTTTTAATATTGTGCTCATTAAATGGGGACACACTTGGCACAGCATAATGACCACATAGACATTTGCAGAATTATGCTCAGCGAGTCTAACTCTTTCACACAGGGTAAAGACACACATAAATGTTAAATGGATGTGTTGCAGATGAATAATATAGCGATTACTGTTGTCACTGGCGTCAATGAGGGGTTTTCCTTCCAGTGAGCGACATCCATAACAGAGAGACTACCTACAGTAACGAGGCCAGTGCCCAAGGCAAATCATCTTTAAAAGAAGTATCATTACAGCTCTGACTAATCAGATTCTGGAAGAAGCTGAAATGTTTTCTCGAAGAAGCATTGGTACAGTTTCTTGCAGCGTAGCAATGGTGTGAATACATATCAGGGTTTAAGACAACTGCACGACACAAGGGCGAAGAAAAGGGCAGGAAGCCTTGCCACTGACCCCGCCCACCTAGGCAACCATCTGTTCGAAAAACATTCCCTGGAAACTGCAGTTTCATTAAGAGCTGTGAGTACTTAATCAGCCTCCCTACAGCTCACCCCGTATAAACAATAGCGATTCATAACCATTCAGTGCCAGCGACTGTAATCCTCGCTACTTTTACTACGACTTATGTATTTGCTACCAATGTCCAATTTAGTTATGCTAAATACACTTAATATCGTGCTTGTGATCCACATGAAATCAGTCAGATTAAAGATCACAAATGTCTTAAGACGGCAGGATTGAAAAGATTTACGGATAATCTTTATAGAGTCTTGAGCGTGCCACTGGAATAATTATCCATGTTTTACTGGTTAGCTATAATCATTCAATTAACTGGTGCATTTAAAAATCTGCAAAGTTATTTGTTAGAATTACATTTAGAATTTGAAAGTATGTGTTAAACAAAGTAAGAAAATCCTCATTAAATGTGCCAGTAAATAATTCGGTATCATTGGTCTCTCTTTAAATGATGAATGGTGACTTTCACTTATTTTCCATGGTACAATTAACTTTTATTTAACTTGGTAAATCAGTTTTTGAGAATGCCACCAAGACGCACATCACAGGGAATTAAGTTATCCTCTGAGGCCTTAGAAAATAAGTTTTTAATTTTATTCATCAGTAAAGGCGCTGGGAGTTGTCTCAGCTGAATTCAGTTGGAGGGTTGCTGAATTAAAGCATGTAGTTGCAGTTTTAGATCCTGCGTCTCAAGGCATTTCTGCATTGGCTTCAGCACTGAGCCAATATGGTTGCCAAAGTGCCTGATGGTGTTGTCAATGTCATCAAGAAGGTTGTATTTGAAATGTAACATTGTCTTTATTGAAATTAAAAGGGGTGGTGGGAGATCAAAAATGTGATGTGTCTTACCACCTTCCCAGACTAACCTAAAGAGGTCAGATTTTTTGAAGTAGGGTTGTATGAGCTACTTTTCTGTAGTCAGTACAGTAGATGTCAGGCGGCACATCCCCAGTTTGGAGAAGCAGACAGGAAAACTAACCCTGCTCTGGACAGGGGGTCAGCAGCAAAAAGTATTTTTGCCACCTAAACAAAGACTCACAAACAGTTCATGTGGATGCTTTATTGAGAATATTTTCACCACTTTACCTTCTCATCAGACAGCCCTCTCCTTTGGCACTACTTTTTCTCAACCCTAGAACGTCTTCCTTAGTTCAGTCTCCCTCTGCAAAATTTCTTCATTATACTATGGCTCATAAAGGTATCCTCTTGTCTCCACAGTCAACGGCATTTTGCCAACGTTGTCACAGTCACTCATTTTTTATTTTCTTGTATTTGTTGTCTCCTCCATAAAATCCTTAAAGTCTGCCACTCTAATAAAGTGAGTGGCACAGCTGCACTTGTGTGTAGGAATACAGAAGTTCCAGAGTGCAGAAAATGTAGTGCCAAATGACGGCAAGGTAGAGGGATGAAAATATTCTGACTATAGCGTGGGCCTTTTTTTAAGTGGCTAAAATATGCTTGCTGCTGCCCCTGTCCACAGCAGCATATGGCTGATCTTCTGTGTCGGCTTTCCTGCCTGCTTCTCCAAACTCTGGATGCACTGACTGCCTGCACTGAGAGTAAAACACAGACTATGGATTAATATCTCACACAGACCCACTTGAAAAAATCAGAACTGACCTTTCTAATAACTGTAATTGTAACCTGTCACTTGTTTCACATCCACTTCCACCGCTAAGGCTTAAAATCCAGTTAGAAACACCTTTAACACCATTCTTTATTTCACCTGAAGCTGAAACTGTGCTAAACTCTTTAATCTATTTATCGAGGGCAGTGTGTCTCATGCGCTGTCCATGCTGTGACATACACTGTCTCTTTGCACAGGATGCAAGGTCCTTTTGTCCTTGTGTGTTGTGTTTGTCAGTGGACACTATAGCAGCAGTCAGCATGTCTCCAAAAGTAACTACTGTTGGTTTAATCTCATAAGTCACAGCGGTTTGTGCTCACTTTTACTATTGTGTGAAAGTTTCACGGTCTCTACACACCAAACTTAAAACTAAACAGCATTGCTCTAATAGTTTTTAAGATGAATGTGTGTGCAAGAAGTATAGATAGGCTATATTTAAACCACCATGTTGGTTTATGTTACTGTATGACATCGTTTATGTAATACAGAATGATTTAGATAAAATAAATAACAGAGAGTAACACCAAAATGTATTATCAAGAAAACAGAATGAGCAGCATGGTGACTGGATTATAAACCTAAATGTCTGAACTGTAGTCATCTGTAATGTCTGAGAATTATTCATAACCTGGTCTGGATTCTGTGACATCCAAATGAAGACACACCATCACTGTGATTTTCTCCAGTGTTAGTTATGCAGTAATCTCCCAAAGCTTAATATATAGCAGCTCAGTAATTTGCAGTAAGTTTCTCAGATGTTCTCAAATTGCACTGGGTGTATATACATGTACACCTTGCTAGGGAAAAAGCTATTATCATAAATATGATTAGGGAGAGTAATTACATGAGTTGAGCAATTAGGGAACTTCTGCCCTGCAGTAATTAAAGATTTTGGGGATGAAACAATATTTATTGGCTGGTTTGCAGACCTCTGAGAAGAAGGGGAGCAATTTTCACTGAGGAACATTGGACCACAGCAGTGTCCACAGACCAACAACAGCAGCTCCCACGCTGTGTGTTAATGTGGAGCAGTTGTAGTGTAAAGGGTGGTTGATCAGTAAGTGGGAGGGTTGCTGATTCAGCCCGGCTCAAGATCTCTAAATGGAAGATGTTCAGGTGAAACTCTCATACCTCCCTCAACAACTACAAGCAGAGTGCTCTCAGACACTAGTGGAGCTGCTCGGTGCCAAAAGGTAGACACTGTTTACCCTGGGCACCGCCAAGGAGTGAGGCCATGTAAATGTAGCGGTGCATTATGTGCTCAGTGAATCTTCCCTGGGTAAATACATTCACAGTTGAATGCTCTGTCTCGGTTCTGTTCTGAATATTTAATGGCTTCTAATTAGTAAACTACAGTTTGGAGAAAAAAGATTTCTCCATTACCTGAAAAGCTGTATTGTCATCGTCTGCACAGCTTCCCATGCAACGCACAACGCTCTATTTTACTGTTGCTCTAAATTCTTTTGCTTTTCCATAGCCAACCTTTTAATTAAATTTATGTCGTCATTGCAGATAGTGGATTTTCAATGTCAAATGAGTGGCTCAAAGCAAGGGCAGGCAGCCACTTGTGGGCCCCGGTGCAACCTACAGACAGACAGAAGAAGGGGAAATGGAATTCCCTTCGCATAAAAGACTAGGTGATATCAAATCTGATCTGAGTTATCTCTTTATTGTAGTCTGCCTGGCTTCGCTCCAAATCACTGCCAGCTGTGGCTTCTCATTGGGAGGACCATTTGCCAAAACAAAACCACCATTCATAACAGCTATGTGCTACGATTGCTGTATCCAAGAAGGATCGTAATGCTCCAATGAATCTTTTGAATGGCCTAAGTACAACACGGTGCAGAGGACGGTCTTCTTTTCATTAATTAATGACAAAATGCAATACATCAAACAAACCGGAAAGAGGTGAGAGGATGTAATTAAGCACTCAAATTGAATCAATCTCCTATCTTATTAATGGGTTTTATCTGCCATGAATTTTCCAGAAATGGTATTGTAATCTGCATTTTTAGAGGTATAAATTTGCCATTCATCACAGTCCCTTTCTCCATCTCAGGGTTATCTATTTTGTGCAAATTTCAACCCTGGTCTCCCTGATTCTTCTGTCTCTTGGCTCAAACACAAACAACTTACAGTTAGTGAAATCTGGGGCAATTAAGCCTCCTAGGTGCCACGGATATTATCAGAAAATGTGGGATTGTGTGCAAAGATGTGACTTACTTACAAGTTTAATGACAATGTGCCATGTATTGAGAACTTTAGATGTGTTGTGTCCTGTATGTGTTTGCAAAATATGAGGATTTTTAGCTTTTTTTATATAGTATAATGTGAAATTTTGGACCAAAAAAAGACAATTTGATGGTTAATTTTGCGTAATTGTGCCAAAAAAATCTGCAGCAACAACACGCAAAAACAGAAATGTAATTGAGGAGATGATGTTAACATAAAGCACACATGTTGTCGATGCAAATTTAACCCCTAACTATGACATTGATTATCTGTACGACTAAGCAGACCTGCAGTTGAGAGTACAGTCAGATCTGTGGATCAGGAAAAGACGCGCACGCTGACAGGAGCTCTCCGGGGTCCTGAACAGGTTTACCAGGTGGACATTTTAACGTCACAACTCTTTAACATTTCAATAAAAGCATGCAACCACTATCCAGCCGTGCAAACAAACAAACAACACCCACCTTCCACCTCATCCTCGGGCAGGATAACAGGGGTCCGGTAGGTGAGGACATCTGGAATAGTGCAAAGTCCCTTGTACATGAACCTGGTGGTCACAGCACGCACTGGCATTTCTGCGAGGGGAAACCAACTGTGTCGCGATCTTCATATATCCTAGCGCTCCGGAGTTTTGAGACAGACCCTTTGCTACTGTCCTTGATAAACAGAAATCTCAAGCAAATGAACAGGAAAACCCCACCTCCCAAAAAAAAACTTCACCTCCCGTCGTTTTATTTGTTTAAATATATATTTTCGACAAAACAAATATGAGTAAAATCATATTTCACAGGGCTGCGTGTTGAACCAAGAATGCAGCTTGTAAATCGCCTTTGGTTTTAATGCATAGCCTGAAGCAGATTACTGTAAGCAAGATGTGAAGCATGCCATGTCATAAAAAAAAGACATATGAAACTTTTACTTCATAGCCGTTCAGACAGTGATCAGCTCATATTAAAATTGATGCAGCCAGAGAGATAAACGGGCTACTTTGCAATTCTTCTATGCACGAATGCTCCCGTATTAAAAAAGAAAGATGATAAATTAATAAAAATAAAATGAGGACTAAATCGACTCTTCCTAAAACGCGTCTTGTTCTTTCAAACTGTCTGTTCCCGACAAAATCTGCCTCACTTTTCTTCCTCGTTTCGGCATCTCCTTAAAAAACACACACAACAGCGGATCGATGATACAAGATAAATACGGCAGCGCTGACGAGCTGATCCTATCCTGTGAGCGAGGTGCAAATAAAATCTTGTAACATTTCTCTTTTTTCCTGGAGAGCAGCTTCAAGGGAATCCTGGGTGACCCCCTTCTCATCTGATACAGACACGCTGTATGAGGCAGTGATCCTCTCTCTCGCTCTCTCTCTCTC